ATTTTTGATAGGAGTGAATGGAGGCAAATTGTTTTTAATACTTGACGTGCTGTTGGAGTGTGAGCAAAGTAACATTTATGAAGGAATTCAGGGAAACCGGCAGGCCGGACTTGAGTCCTGGAGATGGGAAGCACAGTGCCTGCACTCTGAAGGAGGGGTGTTAATGTTGCAGTTTAAAAATTGTAGTGTAAAGCACCCTTCTGGCAAGACAGTGATGGAGTGAATGATGGTGAAAGTTTTTCTTTTTCGGGCCACCCTGCCTTGGTGGGAATCGGCCAGTGTGCTAATAACTAATAACTAATAATATATATATATATATATAAAATTATATATATTTAATATAAAATATATTATATAATATATATATATATATATATTTTATGTATATATATATATATTTTATATATTATATAAGGACTTCGCAAGAGCAGGCGAAATATGCACAAACACTGATCTCTGGCCGAAGGAGACTCGAACCTACGAACCTTGGAACAAGGTACGCAGTGCTTTACCATTCTCACCACATTGGACCAATACCTTGGAGTCCAGCTTGCGCTAGACTGTGATCCAAGGCAGGCAGCTTTCAGGGAGAAGGCTTACAGCTTTTCATCTCATCCCCTGCATGCATCAGCCTTACTAGAGATTTTAACAATGCAAGGAATTCGCAAGAGCAGGAGAAATATACACAAACACTGCATTGTTAAAATATCTAGTAAGGCTGATGCATGCAGGGGATGAGATGAAAAGTTGTAAGCCTTCTCCCTGAAAGCTGGCTGCCTTGGATTAACGTCTAGCGCAAGCTGGGCGCCAAGATATTTGTCCAGTGTGGTGAGAATGGTAAAGCACTGCGTACTTGTTCCAGGTTCGCAGGTTCGAGTCTCCTTCGGTAGAGATCAGTGTTTGTATATATATATTAATATATATATAATATATTATATATAAGGGTATATATATTATATATAATATAATTTATATATATATATGTTTATGTGTGTGTGTGTGTGTGTGTGTTGTTAGTTAGTTACCATTTGGTCCTAGGCACATGTCGATTAGACACTAGGCCTGTTGTATGTGTGTGTGTTGGTGTGTGTGTGTGTGTTGGTGTGTGTGTGTGTGTGTGTGTGTGTGTGTGTGTGTGTGTGTGTGTGTGTGTAATAAGAAATGTTTTTTATTAATGTACCTCACTAAACATCTATTATTATTATAATAAATAAGCGCTTAACCCACAAGTGTGATTTAACATCTATGCATAATACCGATGGCCTTGGATGCACTGGAAGAAAATCAGAATGCAGATGTAATATACACAGACTTTGCAAAAGCGTTTGACAAATGGGATCATGGCGTAATAGTGCACAAAATACGTGCTAAAGGAATAACTGGGAAAGTGGGGAGATGGATCTTCAACTTCCTAACAAATCGAACACAAAGAGTAGTGGTCAACAGAGTTAAATCGGAGGCTGCCATAGTGAAGAGCTCTGTTCCACAAGGCACAGTACTCGCCCCCATCTTATTCCTCATCCTCATATCAGACATAGACAGATATACACCACAGCACCGCATCATCCTTTGCGGATGATACTAGGATCTGCATGAGGCTGTCATCTGCTGAGGACGCGGTTAACCTCCAAGAAGATATAAACAAAGTTTTCCAGTGGGCAACGGAAAACAATATGATGTTCAATGAGGACAAATTCCAACTACTCCGTTATGGAAAACTGGAGGAGATAATAACTAGAACAGAGTATACTACAAACTCTGGCCATACAATAGAGCGGAAAAATAATGTAAGTGACCTGGGAGTAATAATGTCTGAGGATCTCACTTTCAAGGATCACAACAGTGCCACGATCGCACGTGCAAAGAAAATGATAGGATGGATAATGAGAACATTCAGAACGAGATATGCCAAGCCAATGATGATCCTTTTCAAATCACTTGTTCTCTCTAGGCTGGAATACTGCTGTACATTAACATCTCCATTCAAAGCAGGTGAAATTGCAGATCTAGAGAGTGTACAGAGATCCTTTACTACACGTATAAGTTCTGTCAAGCACCTTAACTTCTGGGAACGCTTGGAAGCACTTGACTTGTACTCGTTGGAATGCAGGAGAGAGAGATATATCATAATCTACACTTGGAAAATCCTGGAAGGAATGGTCCCGAATCTGCACACAGAAATCACTCCCTATGAAAGTAAAAGACTGGGCAGGCGATGCAAAATGCCCCCAATTAAAAGTAGGGGCGCCATTGGTACACTGAGAGAAAACACCATAAGTGTCCGGGACCCAGGACTGTTCAACAGCCTCCCATCAAGCATTAGGGGAATTACCAATAAACCCCTGGCTGCCTTCAAGAGAGAGCTGGACAGATACCTAAAGTCATTGCCTGGGTCAGCCGGGCTGTGGCTCGTACTTTGGACTGCGTGACGCCAGCAGTAACAGCCTGGTTGATCAGGCTCTAATCCACCGGGAGACCTGGTCATGGACCGGGCCGCGGGGGCGTTGATCCCCGGAATAACCTCCAGGTAATATGTATCATGTGGTTCTTCAACCTTAAATAGCCAAAATATTGATCATAAAATTTCATAAAAAGACCTTTCGTGATAGAATACACAAGTTCAGGTTGATAATTAGCGCATCAAGGTTTAAATTTATTGGCTAGTGTAATGTCCACTTTTCTGTTATTGCTTTTTTCCAGTTTTTTTACAGTAACTTTTATGAGCGAAACCGGACTCCAGTTTAAAGGGTCTCGCTTGTCATAGTATTGGCACGATGTTTATTGTCTATATGTTTTGTTAATTTACCCTCTTGTGAAATCCTAAAAAAAAAAATCTCAAAAAATGAACAGCTTAGTTCTGTATTCTTTTAAAATTCACGGTGCTGTCTCATTTGGTTGTGTTACTCTTCAGTCAAGATTTAGTATTTGTCTTCCCACTTCTTTAGTTATCTCTATATTCTCTTGCTTAAGTAATCCTTGTTTTTTTCCTGTTCTTTGTTGAAATATGAGGCATAAATAATCATTTCAATGTGACTGGAAGAAGCAGAAATTCTTTGCAAAATTAGAAATGAAAATTATATTTAATCCTTGCAGGAAAAATTGGGATAAATTGATAAAGTAGAACCCCCCTAAAAATAGATATTGGAAATTAGCATGGATTAGTGCAGTGTAATGGAAACAGGAGAAAGCAACAACGAGCCACATTTGAGATGGAACTGCAACCTAATCGTTAATAGATGGCGTGTGGTGAAGGCGGTGGCTTCTAACAGTATGTGGCGTTCACTAGTTTGTAGTAGTAGTGAATACTAATAAATATGAGTCTGAAGATCATTTCCTTCTTAAATATCTAGAATTTATTTCTACCTGATTACTCTCCTAAAGTTCCCAGCAACCTTCCTCATAAAACTTCTCTTCCCCCGAAGGTCTTACTTCCTTCCCCGTCAACAGCCTCCCTCCCTCCAAGAACATTTCCTTCTGCAAGAAGCCTGATCTCCCCCCCCCCTCCCCGAGACCCAAACTCTGGTTGTAGTGTACTTGCCCTGCACCGCTACGGTCCAAGGTTACCTATGTTTTTACCTGTAATAAGCTGTGTAAGCTTCACCTGTAAATAACACCTGGGGAAACCTCGTGACGCTATACGGCAGCGAGCACAGTTGCTCTGCATGGAAATATTATTTTGTTTAAAACATTTTATGGTGTAATTACCTTTAAAATTTTTAGCTTTCCCTCCATAATTGTTTGTCGCTTTTGTGTGAATATAATGATAATTTTACTTTTTCCTTTGTTCATTAGCTTCACGCAAGCGATAAAATTATTATTTATTTATTTTACACATTTTCTTGTATAATTATCTACAGAATTTCTCTCTTTTACTTTGTTCAGGAACTTAACTAAGCGTTTATAGTATTAATATTTGTATTATATAAGAAATGATTTATGTTTTTGTGCTGGTAGGTTTCTCCCGATGAGGTTTAATACAGTGTGTGATCACCCTCTTGTTCTCAGGGCAGAGAGACACTCGATCACCCTCTTGTTCTCAGGGCAGAGAGACACTCGATCACCCTCTTGTTCTCAGGGCAGAGAGACACTCGATCACCCTCTTGTTCTCAGGGCAGAGAGACACTCGTAATGTGCCGCCTACAGTCTCAGTCATATCACTTTTTATTTCTAGCTGTTGTAACACTTATTGTCTCGCTTTGTATCCCGTTCCGTTATTCTACCACTTTGAGAAATCTTTTCTAGTAACATTTCAGCACGGCTTTGTTTTTAAGTTTTTGACTGCGCCTCTTTGCTCACCTTGTTGGTGCTAAAAAATCGATTTTACCTATTTTTTTCGATTTTTCTTTATGATTATTAATGATAAATTTTCCCTCCAACGAGATCATTTCTTCAATCTTGTATACTGCTGTATATTTTAGCACTGGGACCTCATTATGCATGATGGCCTCTGATACCACACTACTGCTGCAAGTCTAATTTGTTATAATTATGTATTTTTTAATATCTCTCCATATAGATCAGGGTTGTCTAACCTTTATTAGCCTGTGCACCCCAGACCAAATTGATCCCAACCCGAGAAAGGATTGAATTAACATCCCAAATTTATAGTTGCCAGTTTGCCAATTTTATACCTGCAATAACATGATAACACGTTCTCTAATTCACCTCAAATGTTCGGTTTAGTGGAGAGGAATTCCACCTTACGTGTGGAGGAAGGGTGAAAATGAGTGAAGGGGTTGGAGAGAGTAGTAGGAGGAGGTGGAGTAAAGATAAGTTTCCCAACTACTTGCGATTTTTACTAAATAAGGCGTGCACATGAAATTTATTTTTGTGTTTGATCACGAAATTTTAAAAAGAAGCATACCTCAATGTCCTGCACTGACACACGTCCATAGAAGGCGTCTACATGTATGTATGTGCGTTCGCCGTAGATATTTTTTCATTCAGTAGATATACTGTTGGTGCAGGCGGGCGTAGAGCAGAAAGAGGCCTGAGGGTACATGGTGGGCGTGCTGGAGGCTGGCTGCCTGGTACTTGCTAGTCACGGTAGTCTGCCTTCACCTGGCACGTTGGCACTGTGTCCTGTCCATTGTAGTCAGAAGGTGTTGGTGAGTTCGGGCGTTCGTTGGTGTCACATTGGTGATGGGTTTAACTATTTTGTACCTAGACTGGTGCAGGTATAATTATCTGCGGCTTCTGAAAGTCGTCCTTGCGAATGTAACATCGTAATTCTTGTTGTAATGTCTCCCTGTGTGTTCTGTGAGAGGAAAGGGGATTCCCAGATCACAGGCTATGTTAACAGGCTGCGAAGGAGTTTTCTCTGTCAAGTAAGTAGAGGTGTTTCATACCATATAGCTGGCGCTTCTTGTGTGTCTAATCTGACATTGGTGTAGGTGCCATTTTACCGTAAACATTGTAAGGTAAGCTTTTGCGAGATGAAATGGGAATGCCTAGTCTGTTCGGCTTCAGACTTCATTGTTGGTGCATTTTCCTTGAAGGAAGATTCAGTGTTAGTGAACAGTGTCAATTCCAATTTGCTAGTTTTATTAAACATTAGAATATTAGTTTCCTTGCTATACTGGAGAATGCCTCAGCACTGTATGATAAAGGAAGGTTCGATTTATTGTAGTTCCTGGCCCTTTTAAGGATGATGATCTATAGTCTATGAACTTTTTGAGAGTTAATGAAGTGTTATTAAATTCATAGGGAAGAGCTAAACCCTTAGGGGTTTGGAGAAATGGGAGGCATCAGGCTCAATTCAGTCAAAGGAAAGATATCGTCCGATTCCTTGGATTATGAGCCCTTCCACTGTATTAAGGCACTTCCTTCGAGGGGCCTTCAAGGTAAGTATAACAGTGGTATATAATGCTGACAAGTAGTTAAGTGAGACACATGCAACAATTAGGTATCTTTATTCTGAAATATTTCCCCTACACAGTAGGCTTCTGCATTCCATTATAAAGGAGACAACAGAAGCAGTTGATCTTCAGCTTCTTGATCTCTTGGGAGCTGAGCTACAACTCCTACCTTTGTAACTTGTCATAATTGTGACTAGACCTACCTGGAGTTCATTACCTTTGTAAATTGTGAGTTCATTACCTTTGTAAATTATGAGTTCATTACCTCTGTAACTTGCTCAGCTATCAAAACTTTGGGGTCCAGTCCCTGGACCAATTATGTACCTCTGTAATCTTTTGACTACCGCCCACAGGATGGGTATGGGGTGCATAATAAACATATTAAACTAACTAACTCTTGAGGGTTGGGAGGTTGAAATACTGTCTTTTGCGTGGGCAGAGATACACTAGAGTTATGGTACACCGGGATACCTTTCCCGGATCATGCAACGACCGAAATGAATCTAGTTAACCCCCTAACTTCTATTTAAATGTTTTGAGACTATGATTGACAATAATTACACCTATCCAACTCACTGTCATTCTTACATTTGTTGTTTGGTGCGATATTAAAATGTATATTCACCTCTCCATGATTCGAAGAGGGAAGAGGTAAAGATTGCTGATAACCAGGGGTTGACAGGAGATGGATTAGAAGTGAGTTTCCACATAGAGTAATTTTGTTCCTTTAAATATGAGAAAAATCCCATCATAATTGCACCGTCTTTCCTAAAGAACCGAATGCAAAATAAAATAATACTCCGAAGATGAGGTTGTGTGTGAGCTTGTCACAGTCATGTCTTGATTAACAGGAACAGATTTCCCGTTGTGAAGAATAAAAAGGCACAGTACCGTGACTGGAACAGTACACAAATAACCAGCACATAGGAGAAAGAAACTTGTGGTCCAAGTCTAACTGAAACGTCAAAAGTTTCTTTCTCCAATGTGCGGGTTATTTGTATATTCCCGTTAATAACGCCCGACTCATCTCGTCTTTTTCGTCTCGGCCTTCTAGTCTTTTTCATTTCATCTCATTTTTCTCTCTCTTTTTTCTCTCTCCCTCTTTCCTCCCTCGCCTTCATATCTTCTCGTTCCAGTTTGTGTTGACGTGAGGCCAATGCCGCCCGTCAGTTGATACAGGCAAAATTGAGCCCAGTAGGTGAGGCATCATTGTGTTTCGTCTCACATAAGTTTGCTCCTAGGTACCTATTTACTGCTAAGTGATCACAAGTAGATGTATGGATGCCTGCCTACATGTGTAGAGCTCTGTCTTGCTTCGATTTAAACTCAGGTCCTTTGGACTGAGCTCAACGCTTTACTCCCCTCGAGGGAGGTTCCTTGACGCTGGTGAGGGGCTCTTGATCTAGGGAATTGGATCTGTGCCCCAGTTCCCTGAATTGAGCCTGAATACCTTCCATCCCCCTACATGCGCAGTAAAATCCTACAAGTTTAGCGCTCCCCCATAATTATAATTATAATTATAATCAACGCTTTACTGGTTAATGGGGTTTAAAGCCTAAAGACTTCACGAGAGTCATTAAGGCAGCATGTAACTTGTTCATCACCGGTCAAGAATACTTTGATTTCTAAATTAGGGATCAGAGTAAACAGTGCATATGCACCAAGACACACACCTCTCTCTGTAAGCAATCTGTTGCTATTTACTTGTGTGTCGACATCAAGAGTCCTTGAAGTTTACGGATGCTACCACAGTCCTTAGCGCTAATGATTTGCAGGTAAACACTTCAGATACAATTTGAAGGATAAATAAATACTATTTTTAATGTCTCGAAAATGTATTTTGCATGTTTGCTACATTTTTAGTGGTGTATTTAATTGTGTCAATTTGATTTAGCAGTCTCCATAATGGTATGGAATGGCACAATTACTGACAGTATAAAACTGTTAGCTGACATAAACTTTATTTAAAGGCAGCAATGTTTCGCTCACACGAGCTTTCTCAAGTCAATACATGGCACAGGCGACATTAATATATATATATATATATATATATATATATATATATATATATATATATATATATATATATATATATATATATATATATATAATATATCAGTGGTATTCAATACCGAAAAGATGAATTAAAACATGTGCAATATCTGGGTATCTTTAGTTTGTAGACGTTTCATGAAACGTCTACAAACTAAAGATACCCAGATGTTACACATGTGTGTAGTTCATCATCTTGCATAAAAAGATGGTGAGGTGAAAGTGTGAGAAATACATCTTTGCATGTAGGCGTGGTCAGTTAATGGACGACGGAGTGTTGCAGGTTACCTTTTACCTGGGCTTCTGCACTCATACATCACCTGACAACACGCACCTTCACCTGACCATGTTGTATATATATTGTCATGTCGCATATGCGTCATGTATCGACTTTATAAAGGCCCTAAGTGGGCGAAACAATGTCTTTAAAAGTAAGAGTGAATACTCTGGATGTTTCCTTACACCTGTTACCTGTTCACATAGCAGTGACTAGTACCTGTTGTGGGCCGCCTCCCAGGGGGGCTGGTAGTATATCTTAGGGCCAGACTTTGAAATGAGCAGAGGTAGAATAAGTTCAACCGCTTGAAAAGTCTTTAGGATAAAGGCTTTGTCTACAAAGTTTAATATTACCATACGTTTTAGTGTTTGAGGGCATATTATGATTTCTTTATTAACCATACTAATTGTGTCAGTTTTAATTATTGTTAATGTAAATAATCATTATAGCAACCAGGGAAAGTACAGAATAAAGTGAAAATTTGCAACAGTCTTCAACTATGGCCGCACTTCTGCAGTCGTTGGTAGTTGTGTTGGAGGGGTTTTGGTGGTCACTCGGTGTTGAATTCTGCTTTTTGTGGTGAAAATGGTTTTGGAGATATAGGGTATGGTGATAGAAAAGCTTGGTGTTGATGGAGGGGTTGTTAATAGGCGGGGAGTGTATATTGTAGACATTGTTGGTGCTGATGATTGTATGGACGTTTAGTTGGCATATCTAACATGTGAAGGAAGTAATTATTGTCGGAATTGTCAAGGGAGAATTTTTACCTGAATCCGCATGTATATAGGCTATTTCCCCTTTGCACACCAGGCTCTTTCCCTTTTCACTCCTCCCTCTCCATCCTACCTCCTTCAGCGAACTTCATTCCTGCCATCCCTTTTTTCTTTCATCTTCCTCTTGTGTATAACTATCTTGCCCCCGCTCTAGGATGATGGAGGTACATTCACAAAAATTGCAGTTCGATGTATGGCATCGCTATCCTGAGAGATGGCAGTTCCTAAGTGATAGTAACTCCAGATATGCTGGAGATCAAATGAAAATGCTGGCCCACAGATGGCTTCAACTTCATCCCGTTCCCTACTTGTATGTTTCATAACAATAAAAATGCTTTCAAATGAGCTGATGTAGGTAACAGCTCTTAGCTTGTCAATAAAGTTAGGAATCCTTAATTTGTAAATAGCTTGTCAATAAAGCTAGGGATCCTTAACCTAACCTTGTCAAACCCTGTGTAAAACAACAACAACAAAGAAAAAAAGGAAACCTTTGAAGCTCCCTCAGTTAGTTAGTTTAATATGTTTATTATGCACCCCATACCCATCCTGTGGGCGGTAGTCAAAAGATTACAGAGGTACATAATTGGTCCAGGGACTGGACTCCAAAGTTTTGATAGCTGAGCAAGTTACAGAGGTAATGAACTCACAATTTACAAAGGTAATGAACTCAGCCGATGAGTCCATGCTGAAGTCTTGACTATATCCTCATTATCCCACTGAACTCTCCCAGCTCAGGCTGACAAAATAGCAGCACACTGCTGATTTATCTAATTAAAAAAGTGTCTCGGAATGTTAAATATGAAAAAATCTAGTACCTGCTTGTAGTATTAGTGTTGGGTAAAAGACATCCGTTACCTAATGATACTAATTAAAATGAAAACAAAATTCAACCCCTATTTCAATCTTCCTCTCCCTCGTTCTTGCTTCTCTTCTCCCCACTCTCTACCATCATGTGTGTCATGCGTAACAATAGCTTGATGTTATCGCCTCCCTCTACTACCACCCACAGTATTCTGGCGGTGAAAGTTATATTTATTAAAGGAAAATCTTGTATGGAGAAAGTAATGTTGTGGGAAAGGGAGACTGACATCTGATACTTAATGTTACAGTCAAGTAGATTATGGGAAGGTGTAGCAGAGTGTAGTACT